TCAATTCTCCATCTTTTTATCCATTAGTACTTAACCTTCAAGTGTGCAAGTAAATGAATTACAATGAAACTCCTGAGCGCAAAGATAAACGAAATCAACGTCACTCATTCTGATAACATGGCACAGCAATCTGGAAGCAAGGTACGACGAGTGCCTCGACTCTGCTGGATGGAAGACAAGCACAAGCTGCGTTATGAGTTGAAATTATTTGCAGAAACGCCTGACAAACTTTGACTTCCGTCTCAGTGCCTTAAATCAAGGTAAACGTTGAAGTTATTATTGTAGCATCTCCCACTGGAGCAGGTAAGGAGCGCTCACAGGCATGTATGTTTAAGATTATTTATGCGCAGCATAGCATTGACAAAGTGTGTCCTCATATGGCTTAGGAATATGTTTAATATATGTTCTTAATATCCCAGAATGTATACACTTATGGATAGAAGTGGGAAGCAATTTAGTTAGATATTTATGTGTGTTATGGAAAAGTGCAGGAAGTCTCAATTCTATTAGCTCCGTTACTCTTTCCGCCTCTGATCAATCAAGCATGTGAAATGGATTGAAATTGTTGAGGTGCGTTGTGTGTTCCACTGTTGCTTTAATTTAAGATACATTATAATAAATTTACTCTCAATTGCTACATACAATATTTGCGCTTATTTAACCACCCACTATTTAAAGAGGAACAGTCACTGTGCGTTTCAATAGATAAAAGCATTGTATGCATCCTGTGACTTTAAGAACTTATAGTAAAGTTTTTTTGTTGAAAACAAAGTAATAGTTGGGATCTAAGCAGTAACTGCGCTTTCACATACTAGTTATTCCAAATCAGGGTATCTCTTATTATACAGGGTATATCTTGTGATACAGGCTATATCCTGTTATAGAGGTATCTGGAGGTTTCTTCTTATATAAGACATTTCTTATTATACAAAGTATCTAATATTATTCAGGGTTTCTCTAATGTCTTGTTATGTGGAGTATATTTTATAATACAATCTTTTATTATACAGGGTGTATTATACAGAATATTATTATACTGGGTATCTCTTATTACGCAGAATATAATTATATAGGGTATTTCTTATTAAACAGTGTATCTTTTGTTATGCGGGGCATCTTCTCTTATATACCCCATTTATGTTATACAGCGCCATCTATTGCAATACAAGATATATCTTGTTACACAGAGCATCAATTGTTATACGGAGTATCTCTTCTTATACAGGGTATCTCTTTTTATGCAGGGTTTCTCTTTTATCACACAGTATTCCTTGTTATGCAGGATTTCTCTTCACACATAAAGTATCCCATGTATTTTCTCATATGCGTTTTGATTTAACTTCCAAGCTAGTTTTTATTGGGTGGTTATATGATGTACCCTAGTACCCAAATCTCAAAATCTGTTTGAGATACAGCAACAACTATCATTAATTTAACTATTAAAACTTAGTATGCCCAAAAACAAATTTTAAGTTGTCAACAAAAAAAAATTTATATTAGATTTTAATAAGAACCATTATATTGAATAAATTTCAATTGGTGTGAAGTGATATTCATTGATATATTTTATAACCAATTTTTTTTTCTTTACGAAGTAAAAGAAAATTGTAAATTATATACCAAGAAAATATTATATATCGAGTAAGTAAAATATAGTCTTTTGCTTTTGAACCTGATAGCATCTTACGCATGTTTCCTAATTATTAAAACTTTATCTATTTTATATTTTTCAGTAGATAATTAACAGTGTTATAGTATTAGCTGTTTAAGTTTTATTTTAATTATATATAATAATGTATACCGATTTTAACATCTACAATCAAAGATGATAAGGATTAAAATACGATTGGTGCCCAAATATAAGGTTTTTAATAATTAATTTGATAAAATTACTTAATTGTTAATGATTTTAGTTCACTATATCTAATAACGAAAAAAAGCTACATCTATTTAATATCACATTTAATAATAGTGATAATAAATGACATTTAATGAAATGTCTAATCTACAGCTTTTAGAAAACTCCGGCTAATGAATATTTTCATGTGGTCTCTTTCTTGTGGGAGGCAAAGGGGGACCATTAGATACAAATTCTCTAATGGCAAGATTTTGTATATCATGAAGGCTAGAACCATTACGATCTGAATAGATTTATTGCGCATTATCTTTTTTTTATAAACTAAAAATTTATAACCAAAGCGAAAAATGCCTGCAGCTATTATAATTAACCACTTGTTTTTTCTGAAATAGTACTCTTTCAATCAACTAAGATGTTTTATACTCAACTGCGAAATGCATATCCAGATCGTTTTGAATTTTATAAGAAATTTAATGAACTCTATGAATCAAAATTAGAAAAAGTAAAGCCTTTGGTAAATGATGAATCTTCAAAGAAATTCTTACTCGCCTGTCAAAAAGCTATTAAAGAACCAGTCAACGCTATATCAGCAGCTAGTTCACAACATCTGAATAATAAATTTGACAAAATTTATGATTTTATAACTGGTCATCCATTTAAGATTGCTGAAGGTATAATATCGATAAATGATCATCCATTGGGACCGGATTACTGTTTGCTTTTGCTAACAAAATTATTTGTAGAACAAGGTGATGTACTAATCGGAAGCGTGTCGCAAGCCGCCTTTGGTATAGCATCAATAATTGTTTCATTATGGAAAGTCCTACCCGAATTTGGAGCGCTTTTTTTAGCCACTCTGTATAAGGAATCCCCATACTTAGTACCATATTATGTAACTAAACAAACACAACAATCTACTGAAGACTACCTTAAAACACTCGGCTACAAGTTCAAAAAAGGCATGCTTGAAAATCAAGAACAATTTCTGAAAAGACAAACTGGTTATGCTCGACTATTTTCAGCAATTATGATAACCAGTGGTAGAAAAATTGATGAACAGCCTCATCCATTCGGTAAAGAACACTGTTGGAGTTGGTTAACTAATTTCATAAACATGGAACCGTTCCCAAATGTTTCTACAACAATACTTTACGAAGTTCTGAAAACAGTTTCAGCGAATCTTTATGAAACTTATGGTAAACAGTTTTTAAAACTGATTATATTCATAAGACACACATATATACCAAAAGTAAAAGAAATTAATAGTGATGGACTAACTGTGCGTCTGGAAGTTTTACTGGACGAATATTTAAAAACTAAATCATTTAAAATGCCATTAGGATTTTTATCAAAAGATTTTTGGTAATAAATTTAATTTAATTTTTATTTGCAAACTTGCAAGCTCTTAAAATTTAATTGTTAATTATTAAATTTACTTAAATTAAATATATTTTATATACTCATCAATTGAATTAAATTGAAAATATAAATAAAAATAATATATGTGATCAATGAATCTGATTATTTCTTTTAATTATAGTATATAATATATTTTAGTACGTTTACACTATCGCATTTAACTTATTTTTCCATTTATCATGTTAAATGTGTAGCAATTAGTCGCATTTTGTGCACAAACGGGACAGTTTAAACCATTGTAATAATTATTGCAGCTATGTTATAGAAGATATACGATTAGCCGAAAATTTACAGATTTTAATTTATGCGATATGGGATTTTCAACAGTAAAAGCAGAATTAATATTTACAATAGATTATTAGAATGTGTATACCCTACGTAATCTTGAGTTTACTAAGAATTATGAACGCATGGTGGCGCTCGAACGTTTGTGCTGTCATATAAATATTTTTTGTTCTTACAAAATCTTCGTAATCACATCGTTTGTCATAAACTGTCAACATTTTTTAACATTTTCAGAAAAATATTAAAGTTAAACTAATATTCTGATTGTGTCAAATCACAAACGATTATTTATAAATATAAAAATATTGTAAAAACTTATCTCAGTCAGTTTTTTTTTACAAACTAACAGCAATTCAAACATTGAAACATTCAAAGTATTAGTGAAACCGAGAAAACTTACTACGTAAGTATTATTTTTTAGTCGCATATTTTTATCATATTTATATTTTTAAGTAATAATAGTCTTTGGTCTTAAAAAAGTTATAATTTTTTTTCTGCTTAACCTAAAAATTTTTATTCAAATGTGTATACAATTTTTTTCAAGATCAAGTTTAACTGTAAAAACGCCTCTAGTCTCCCAAAGCTTTTAGCTTTTTTCATTGTCTCTGAGAATGTCATTTGTCCCAATGTACCATGATGCCTTGAAAAGTTTTTTCAGAGCCTGGCTCTGTGAAATTTGTAGCTGGCGAATGATAGTGTTTGAGGCCTTACTGAACGGTACAGATCCATATGGAAGTGACGGTCGAATTATTTGTCTATATATCAGCTTCCTGTTCTTAGCATTGAGACTTTCATTTTTAAAGAATTTTGGCACAGCTAATTTTTTTCAGCTTTACATATTTAAGTCATGTCAATCGTTTGTCCACCGTGATACCTAGATATTTAATGCTATCCTCTCAGTTTATAACCATATTTCTGTCTCCGCTTATGCGTAATCAACAGAACCTTCATTTTTTCATTATTGATTTTTATTTTCCATTTCTGGAAATATTCCAGGTTGAGGTTTATATATTATAATATATTTTTATTCATGATATATAATATATATATATTATGTAGCAATATCGATAGCAAAAAAACGAGCAGGGCATGTATTTTCCAGCAGCAAACTTTCATTAAAGCATCTAACCTCAAAATAATACAACTCTGGGTGACGACATTCGCTAAGCTATTAAGGGGCTAAGAATTTTTTTTACTAATTCAGACTAAAGAATATTTGGTACAAGTATTGCAAAACTTACCACTTTCCTCCTCAAAAATATGTTTGGATGTGTACTATAATATCTATACATATGCGCATCTTCAAAAATATTATTTAAAATTATGCAAAAATTTTACTTATGATTGTTTATATTTATAATTTCACTAATCTCTACTTTCATAAATAAGAATCCCAACCTTATTAAGCAATATTTAATTTTATTGAATTTTTTATTTTGCAATAACCCAAGCTAGCTTTACTTATTTCACAACAACTTAACTTTATGAACATTTTTGTAATTTTAACAAAATTTTCTTTTTAAATTTTCTGTTCTATATTTTCTTCTAAAAACAATGCATTCTCATAATTAAAACTTTTAAATTTCTTGCAACAAAAGGAGGTATTCAGGAAAAATAAACTATAAACAATTTTCTTGCCAATTAAGAATTTATTTATTTTTTCTTTTAAATATTTCCATTACATAGCTAAGGGCTTAAGCCACCTGTCTATTAATTAAGGGCCAATTTAAATCTGAAGGCTTCTTATGATTTACAGAAATAAAAACAACAAGTAAGCCTCAACAAAAAATTGTCAAAATTGCACAAATTCTTAAGGCAAAAATTCTTAAAGAAATGAGTTTTAATGTTTTGGTTTATTTTCCACAAGTTTCCTTCCCCTACAAGTATTTGAAATCCTGAAACAATATGAAGGCTTTCTGCTTAATAATCAAGTTTTTATAAAGGATTTACAAGGCAAAACTTTCACTACTGCGAACTACTAAAGTATTTAAGTGTGTAGTGGCGTAACGTGGATTTGCATTAAGTAATGCAGCAAACAAAGGCGTAAAGTTGAAACTTAACTCTGGTATATCGCGTGGGTATAGCACAATTGCAATATACTGCACTGCAATATATAAACTTTTTCATATTAAAAATATATTTTAAAATACTTTTTAAAAAATAATTGCTATTTACTTGTAAACGGGAAAGGAAAATTCTTGCTAAAATTTTAGTTTCCACTAAAAGTTTTCAAAGTAACTCATAGCGTATGAGTAACATTTTTAATTGCTGGATTTCTATTATAAAATTCAAAAATTATTTTAAAATATAATTCATCTCCGAATATATGGCATTTGCGAGAAAAATAGACTTCCATGAATTATATAATCATAAGAATAAATTTCTTAACATATTTTATCAAGAATTTGAATAATTAATTTTTAAATTAATTAAATAACAATTTTAATTTATTTAACTGCATTTTACATTTCTATGGTTTTGAATGTTTATGATCAAATGATTTTTATATATTTTGTGCATATATGAATGGATAATTTTATAAAAATTCATACATACATAGCCTTTTTTTTGTGGTAAAAATACTTGAATATTCTGTGAAGAAAAAAGCAGTTTGTAAGAATACTGCTTTAATGCCTATAAGACTACATAATTATCAAATGATCTTATTTTTAATAGCTTATATCGCGATTACTTTTGGTATACATTACTAATAAGTCTTTTGTATTGACAATTAGTCAATAAAAATATAAATAATATTTATACTGTTTATATTAATAATTAATTCTTTATTTTGACTATATATTATAGATATTGAAAAAAAAAAAATTCTTTTTAATTTTTCTATAAACAGTTATTTAAAAATTGACCAATGAACCTGCTTCTAAAACAATATTATTAATAAAGATTTTGGTAAATAAAATATTAAATTAGTAAATTATTTATATTAATAATATTAAAACATTACTATATAACAAACATTGTTATTTGTATGTACATGTAATTAAAAGTATTATTAACATGTTTTTTCTAGTTAGTATAAGCAGAGCTATATTATACTATGTTTACACTATTGTCCTTAACACACCAAATATATGCAACAATATATATCATTTGTCATATAAAATTCAAAAAATCAGATTGAAGATAGTTTTTATTATACGCAATTTCTTAAAAAATATGCACAGTATTTTGTTTTAGATCACCATACTACCTATGTTATATATATATTATATATATATCATATATACCTATATATATTATATATATATATA